CCTAAATCTAGCGGATATGCGATTGCAAGAGGGGGAAAGAAAAGATACAAAGCGAGCTCTTTTTAGGGGTACAACGCATATTAAAGCAACACGCCCAAAGGTGCAGTCGATGTCAGTTGGCTTTTGGCTTTGACATTTGATGAATTACTATACACGCATAGCAGCAGCACAAACAACAACTGGAATCAACTACACGTCTAATTAGACTGGGGACACCATTTTATTGCACACTCACTTAGAGTTCGAAGGTCGCGGCGCGGGCGGTGGGAGGGGAGGGGTCGCGGTGTGTGCCTTCCGAGGTGTGTCCGGCGATTTTTCACACCACTGGCGGCGGTGGCTGTTGTGGCCGCTTCTAATTAATTAATTAGCTTGATGACAAAACAAACGCGCTGCTGATGAGCTCAAAAAAAGAATAATAAAGAACGTACGTAATGGAATTGGAAAATGTAAATGTAAGTGCTGTTGCCACTGGCAGAGTCGAACCAAAGACACTCGAATAATAAGATGCGTAACGGCCATACATTGGTTTTGCACTATGCTTGCACTTTTTTGGTGGCGGAAGTAATTGCATAAAAATCTAAAAAAAAAATAAATATTTTTATTATTAATTATCTGCAAGATATGTATTTTTTTGTACCCAGGGAACACCACGGGGAGGACATTACAATTGTAATGGGGTCGTATATTTATATGACCTTCGAGTCGACTTGAAATAATAAATGTTAAACATAAAATATTTCCATGTTCCCCAACTAAGATAGTTTTCTACCTATTGCTTTTCGATATAATTTGCTGCTTTTCTAGTGAAGACTGTAAGGCATGTCTTCTAATTTAGAGTCACAAAATATTTCCAGTAATCTATGTTACCGGTCGAGCAGTGAATGTAGTGTACATATGTGTAGTGTATGCACCGGTATATGTATGTAGTATGTATGTATGTATGTATGTATGTATGTATGTATGTATGTATGTATGTATGTAGTATGTATGTATGTATGTATGTATGCATGTATGTAGTGTATGTGTTACTTGCACAAAGTAGTAGAAATTGTCTTAATTAAAGTCTGGAGAATGTTTAACTTACTGTCGGAACACGTAGTTATTGCCGCTTTTGATATTTGCTTAGGGAAAATATTTTCTTGTAGCCCTATAATTCCCAACTGGTTCTAGTGAGGACTGTAAGGCATGTCTTCAAATTTAGAGTCGCAGCAGTGAGTCTAGTGTGTGTGTAGTGTATCTACCGGTGTATGTATGTAAGTATGCATGTTTGTTTGTATGTTTGTTTGTTTGTATGTATGTATGTATGTATGTATGTATGTATGTATGTATGTATGTATGTATGTATGTATGTATGTATGTATGTATGTATGTATGTATGTATGTATGTATGTATGTATGTATGTATGTATGTATGTATGTATGTATGTATGTATGTATGTATGTATGTATGTATGTATGTATGTATGTATGTATGTATGTATGTATGTATGTATGTATGTTTGTATGTATGTATGTATGTATGTATGCATGCATGCATGCATGTATGTATGTATTTGTATTTATGCATGTGTGTATGTACGTATGTGTTACTTGCACAAAGTAGTAAAAATTGTCTTAATTTAAGCCTGAAGAATGTTTAACTTACGACAGTTCCGACAGGAACACATAGTTATTGCCGCTTTTGATATTTGAAATTGATTACCCTACACTGAAAGGGATATATATTTTTATGTTTATTCGTATACAAAGTTCTACTAATTTAATCTCGAGCTGTAAGTAATTAAATAATAAACTTTTACTTTTTTTTTATTCAAACGTATGAATCAAAATCTGTCCGGGTTTTTCATCCTTTTTTGAAATTTTCAGCCTATTTTTTCCGTTTTTTTTTCTCAATCTGTCCTTTTTTTTCAGAAAAATATTGGCATCACTGATGCGTACAAGAGAGCTGCTGGCTCTAGAGCCTTTGGTCGAACCAAGTGCTATATACCAAATGCTCATTGCCAACAAGTAATATAAAGCAAATTGTCATATATTGATATTTGAAAATGCCTAAAATATGTAAAACATGGAAATCAATAACTTTTCCCCCCTTCAAATCGCAGAAAGAGCAAAACCCTCAAGGTCGTTTATCATTTGCGGCTCATAACTTTGTGCAATATGCAGAAGGCGACAAAGACCACCACCCACCACCCACCGCCCCCCGTGGAAATATCAGGCCCTACCCCGCCACGCCCCCCGTGGCGAGGGCGGCATGTGAAAGTGCAAAGCTGTCAATGAGTTATGTTTGGCGCTATCATAAAATTTGACAGGCCTTCTTTTATCCCCGCACCCAGTGGCATTCCCTTCGAATCTTCGAATCGCTTGGCGTATGCAAATATTTCCCGGCGGAAACGGATGCTCACATTTAAGAAAGCCGATGGAAAGGATTTGTGCCCTTCGTCTGCACCACTTTCTCCAAGTGTCTGCGTCTGGCTTTATTGTTTACACTTAAAGGAATATAAGCCTCAAAAGTAGAAGGCAGCTACTATACTATTCCTAAAGATATTTGCCGTTTTCATTAATGTTTGTATGTTGCACCACACATTTGCCGAAGGATTATTGGTTGAACTCATCGAAATTCAATGACGTCATGTGGCGATAAAGGATGCAGCAGTGGATTCAAGTCGGTTTGCAAAACGCAACTGCGTGAGTGTAGCCATTAAAAGAATTGCAACAAGCTTCTCGACCCCTTTGCTGTGTAAGCTCATTAGATTTTCCCTCTCACTGAATTCAATAAAATCTAATGCGGCTTGTAGTGAGCGTCAGTGTGCATAACTCTGTCAATTGTGTGTGTGCAATTTTCAACAATTTTCGCACTTATTTTTGAGTATTATCGAAAAAGTTTTCCCATCATCGAAGCGTAAGAGGCAATTGGCCAAAACAGGCACGTCCTGGCCACCACACACACACGTTTACGTGTCCGATTGTAAATGGGAATATTCATTATGAATCTCCTTATGTAAGGATGTATGTGTGTACATCTGTGCAAAAGTTTATTGGCAATTTTTGGCTATTTTGTGAAGTGTGCTGCAAGCGCTGAATCGTACGTGTAAATAGTTATTTTGTGTTGATATGCGGCATTAAATTTCTAGACTCGAAATGTTTTACGAACTAGCTGCAGTGCTTTTCAGAAGTATTATAACTTTATTTTGATGCACAGCAATGAATCAAGCGACCACGTGGAAAATCTGTTAATCAGTGTTAAAGCTAATTTCACTGCATTACTTAAATAGCAATATTTTCTCATTTCCATTTTTGAATAGATTATTTCCTGTGGTGTTTACTTATCTTACGAATTCATCCATCGATACTCAAGTAGAAGTTATTCTAATTGGCCTCACAGATCTTCGGATTTAAATAATCTGTTCTGGTGTCCCAACCCGCGAATTTCCAACCCTCCAACATCCGTCCACCTGCCATCCGCCCAATCACTCAGCCAACTGTTCATTTTACAGCTTCCCCTTTTTTTTAGATTTTTGGCTGTCCGGACTCGGTTTAACGCTTAAATTAGCCCAAAAAACACCAAGGATCAGAGAAGGAGAATATCCCAATCCACCACCGAACTACCTATGAAGATATTTTAAACATTTTCCCCTGCATTCATGACAGCCGCAAACTGAGTATGAAAATGGTATAGAAATTATCAGGAAAAAAATATTCATTTCGCTTTTGCCTTTTTTTATGCTTTTTTTCTGATCATTTTTACGCTGCTGCCTCCTTCGTTTGTTAATTTATAAAAAACGCTTGAGGCTTCTTGATGGGAAATGGGTGGGTGGAGAGGAGGGAGGGGGCACAAGGTGAGGCCAAGTGTCGCCGGGTGGGCGGAGGAAAGTGGGTGGTGTGGGGCGAAGGTGCGAGACGCGACTTTCGGTGGTGGAACGAGAAAAACTTCAAACGAGATAAATACAATTTCCATTAGGCCTCGCGGAAAATCCCCTGGAACCACATTCATACTTTTTCTTATCCATATAAATGCACAGCAAACATTTCCTTCTATCGATACGATGCATTGTTTTATTTTATAATAGTATTTCTCAAACTGTTTTGATTTTTATTGATTATTATACGTAAATTAATAGCCTCTGTAAGAGTTGAAATAAACCTTTAATTTATAGAGGTCATAAATAATAAGTGGTGATAACGGATTTAAAGTTGGCTTGGAAATCCAACAGCAACTTTCAGCTTTTGTCGCAGTGTATGTATGCAAAACTTAGCATTGTCAGATATTTCACAGCTCACTCCACTTGAGGTTTTTTCCTATTGATTTTAGGGCTTTCTCACAGTTTTTCCTCGAATTTTCCCCCAATTTGTATATCAGCAAACCCCGTAGCCACAACCCCCAACAATTTTTTGGTCCTTCTTCGGTCTGTTTTACGTTAATTTTTTAATTGTAAATATTGCCTAGGGTCGAATTTTTCATCTGGGCCCGCAGTTGTCCCTGTTTTTTTTTATCGCCCTCCACCTCCAACCAAAGACCGAAGACCAAAAAAAGAAAAACCTCTCCTCAATCTGCCTTAAGGTTCATAATTTTTCACCCCCTCGACCCACGATGTTTACATAATTTGTACGTTACAACGCGCACACGAAACTCACTTTTTGGGCTACTTTCTACCGAATTTTTGAATGGATTTCCGCGGTGGGAAATGTGCGCAGTTGTTGATAACAAGTACATAGTGGGCGTGGCACGCTCAATTATTTGCTATAAGGGGAAAATAAAATACGCCCAATGGCCATGGTACGATTTTTCTCGATTATTACCATGTTGATTGCCATTTTTATTGCCCGCCATCTAATTGCAAACTATTGGCTAACACACACACTGCCTTGCTAATAATGCCAATAAAGTAGGGTTATGGAGCTCTATACATTTTTGGCCACTGGGGGTATTAGAAATTATGACAGCGTAAATCCTGGCATTTATACCCAGTATACAGACGAAAGGAAGTTTCTGCTTGTTGGGCAAGTGTATTTTTGTTTTCTACAAATAGGGCCGCATACGAAAAGCAAACTTGGTAGGTCGAAGTTGTGGTGATGCAGCTTTTTGATTTACTCCCGATTTTGGCTGGCGTCGGGCTTTTTCTGAAATGAAGATAATAATATTATTATGTGTACGATATATATTGACAACTCACCATATTTCTTGATGATCAATGGGCAGTTCATCTCTGGCATTTAGCTGCATTCCACCGCCAAATTTTCCCTTGCTCTTCCATGAATTTTCGTTTGAGCTTCCAAAATTTGAACTGCGAATTTGCGTTCTAGTCTTCTTTTGTGTTAAAGCAATGCATCAATATTTGTAGTGTACATTTAGTTTCGTTAGTTAATGACTAGCTAAAAATACATTGTGTTAATTATATTTTATTTACGCCGAGCTTACGATATGTACTTACTTACACCAACCCAGTTTTGTGTTTAAAACAATGCATCAATACGTGTAGTGTACATTCAGTTTACTTAGTTAATTGCTAGATAAAAATAAATTATATACTCATTTACGCCGAGTTTACGATATACATATACTTACTTACACCAACCCAGTTTTGTGTTTTAGTGTATACTTGTGTGTGTCTTTTGCGATTAGTCAGTTGCAGCAGCATATAGCGATTTCGTGTGTTTCACGTGTTTTAGTTTATTGTATTATAAACTATATCATGTCATGCGTTAAAGAAACTGCTCCACAACAATGCTTGATACTTTATGCTTAAGCCTAACTAAAACTAAAATACTAAACACTGAATTGAACAAAACGAGATATGTTCACCAAAAATGATCCGAAAATATTTGATTGTTTTTTTTTAGAATTTTTACTTGTTCACTCTAGGAGATCTGTGTGTTGACTGAATTCTGCTGTGTTCGACGAGCTTAGGTAGGAATTTGAAAGTGACAGTAAAAAGCATGGATAGTTTGATCACAAATATTTCGTTTTATCAATGCTTACTAGATTTGATATTTGACATGACAGGCGTGACAGTTTTGGGCGGTTTGTGCACGTTGGCAGAGTTATAGAGATTTACAAGATATATACAAAAAATTCAAAATATCACAGCATTTTTCAAACGTGTGGGCGTGGCAGCGTTGTGCTCAACATTCTAGCTTTTTCAGTTCCTGAGATCGAAGCGTTCATACGGACATGGCCAGATCGATTGGGCTACTGATCCTGATCAAGGATATATACTTTTATACTTTTGCATACTTTTCAACGAATCTAGTATACTCTTTTACGCTGCGAGTAAGGGGCATCATAATAGCTTTAAATAAATGTTATTATTATTTATTAATTATTACTCTCATGTCCTCAGAAATTGGAAATGTGTTTGGTTCAGTGCTTATTTGCCCCCCTATTTTGTTTAGTCAGTGGGCGTGTCGAGGCACACATGTGTAGGTCACGACCCAAAAAGCGGAAGGGGAATTGGATGCCAAATGCCAAGAAAAGGAAGGCAAAGAAGAGAAAGTCGCTTTTTGGCTAATGAAAAAGAAATAAAAGTGTCGAGTGCATTATTGCCAACATTCACACACACACACACACACACACACACTGACAGAGACGGAAAACACAGAAGCTCACGCACACATATGCCCTCACCCACGCAAGGACCAAGAACAGAAGCACATATCATTTTCCTTGGTAATTGTTGAAACATTTTTACTACTAGTCTGCGTGCTACGTGTCTGCGTCCCTTTTGCCACTACATCCACGTTACCCATTTCCACCCCCCTTTTTTTCGTCACTCCACCCCCCCAATTTCGACCGCCGGCTATTATTTTGCACTTACTATAACATGCACATAAATATTTTTCCTTCGGCCTCCCATTTTCGGGTGTGTGTGTGTGCGGCTATTTTATTGATACTAACACAAAAACCCACGAATCCTCATAAAAGGACATGTGAGTACGGACTTTTCCTTGGCCCCGGCTTGTTTTTATTGTCGCCTCGGCGAATCTCTGTCAAAAAGCAATAATCATCAATTCTGATTCTCCGCTTGTTTTTCTTTTTTCTTTCGCCTTTCGGCAAGGACATTGTCGTCTGTTGGTGGCTCGATTTGATATCAAATTGATTATTATTTATGTCGAATTGGGACCAATTGCCTCTGCCCCTTTTGCCTGGCTAATTTGGCCAAGTGCTGCAGCTAAAGGTTCTGGCATTTGGAATACTTAAACGGGTTTTCCGAAGCTCGAAGGTGAATACTATAAATGGTTTTCGGTATTGTAATCTATCTTAGTTGGCTGAAACACTCAGTTTCCCGTTTCAAATTGTTGTGTGCATCAGGTTAGCCGAGAATTCTAATTTCTCCGATAATATGGGATTTCCATTGGCCTTAGTTCAGTTGTAGAACTGTAGAACTGAGAGAAGGACGTGTACTTCTCAATAGCAAATATTTTTTCGAAATATTTATACGAACGAAAGGAAGATTTATATATTTTGTAACTTGAAACAAGCGAAAAATGGAAAATGCTGATGTTCGTGCCTACTTCCTTTTTTCAAATTCCCCGGAAGGCGACTTCGGTAAGTTTTCATACCACTCCAATACACCTAAGCACCAGTTTCATACGTATGTCGTCGGTATAAATTACTTAATTTTAATTTATCGTAGGCGCTCCTTAATCAGCAACTATTAATGCTGCACTTTGCTTATTTACGAGCTCCAAATTAGCACCATTGAGTGTCTGTCGTCCGTTTCATCTGCTTTGCGTGGGCAGCTACTGTTCCTCATCCTCATCCGCATTCGCTGTTCTTTTTTTGTTTTTTTCTGGTCCTCACCTGGCGGCTCCTCCATCTTTATTCTTCTTCTTTTTGGGTATTTATTGGGCTACCAAAGGCGAGCAATGAGTCATTTGAATATGGAATTTGTGTTTCACTTAAAAGGCCTCTTTGGTTGATAGCAAATCATATGACATTTCTCGAAATCAAAATTTTTTTAATTTTCACATTGCATGATACCACGCAGTGTATTCATCAACGGTCTGTGCCTTTTTGCCCACGGTTTGTCACACTTAATTAAAGAAAATTTGAAGCACTTTAGATGTCAATTTGTGCCCACTTTTCGCAGTGGCCAATACGATGACAGTTGCCAGCTTAGACCCCCTTTTCGCCCCCATTTTCCCCCCAATTTCCCCCGCCGGCATATTACCGACCATTTTCAATTGCGTCGAAAGGAGGGAAAATAAAAGTACGCAAAAAGAAGAAACGGTTTAATTAAGTTGAAACCCTTTCGTGCGTGCCATGGCCAGTTGGCAGTGCCATCCGCGAATCCAAGGCCACTCCGTACCGGACTCACTTTCCAGACCCCCGAGATATGCCGATCCAAGTGGCTCAAGTGGCCAAGTCACCCGTCATCGTCGAGTCTCTCGTTTCAACTTGGGGCGTGTTAATTTCCAAGGTGTTTGCTATTCCAAGCTGTTTCCGTTCTAATATAAAAAATCAGCGTAATTAAAAATCAAATGATTTTTTCTTGGTCCTCGAGTGAAAAGTCTCAGCCCAACCCCCCCACTACCCCCACTCCCCCCACTTTGTCCGACGACAGCGAAATATCTTCATTAATTTTGCTCTTTTGCTGTGGGACAGCGGCAAATCCTTCGCGTTCTATCCTTTCCAATTCATTCAATGCTGCACAATTTTTAGCTCATTAATTGGTGTGGGCAACCCTTTTCTGTTTTTTTCTCTGTTCTGCCCTTTTGTGGGGTGAACCCCACGCGTTTGTGAAAAATCTGGACGAAAATGTCCTGAAAACGGAGCCAAGTGATTTATTTGTTTAATCCCTTTCATTTTCGACCGATTTCTTTTATTTATTTTCTTGCCCAGCCACTTGAAATGTTGCTGATTAGAGAAGGAAACAGAAGGGCAGTTGGATTTCGCTTCTCTTTCTTGAGCATTACACTTGCAATCCAGTTCCCCGTTGCCAAATAATAAACATGCCCACTTTAATACGTTTTTAAATTCGCGATATTCCGCTGCGTACAACTCCTAATTGATTCGTTATCGATTCGCTGTGACCCTCTTCACGGCCCATCAATATGGCTAAAAGTGAAAAGAAGCGGGGAGCCAAGGAGGAGGATCGACAGACATTGAGCGACCAATGCGACTGGCAACTTGTTTAGCTGATTTTAATCCGCATTCGATACGGTAACAATTTTACTTCATCACTCTCCCGGCAACCGAATGGCCATCTCTTCATCGCTCCCATCTGAATCTCCTGGCTTCCACACCAATCAAGGCTCCTCGAGCTTTTGACATTCGCATAACTTCCGATTTAATCCCAGCGCGTGAACGTCGTCGTCGTCGTCGTCGATCCTCATGTTCCAATCGCTTGAGTGGCTGCAGCTTCAGTGGTGCACCGAAAGAAATGCATTGTGATACCAATTAATGTCCCACTTTGAACGGCCTCCATTGGCATGGCAGTTTTTTGCAGTGCACGACTGCTTCTTGGCCGCATCGCCTTTTGCCCCATCAGCTGAGTTATGTGCTTCTGTGCGTTGTCGTATTTTGTAAGCTCTTACGCGCCGGCTACCAAGAGCCCCTCGATAGCCCAACTAAACCGAGCCAATCCGATCCGACCCGATCCCATGGGTGCACCCCTTCCGCTTCATTCCGTTCCGATCTCCGCACGGATACAGAACGCGATCCTCGATCCTCGAGGCAGCAGCGTCGTTGAAGCGATAAAAGATCAATTTAGTTGCGCCACAGTCGCCGCTGATTTAAATCCGATCATTGCGCGGCGATTTGATGCGAACTGAAACATGCACAAGGAATTTGCAATTATCGAACATCAAAGGCCCTCTTCCCAAATCAGTTTTTTTTTTATCTGTACCAGCATTCGTTTTACTGGTTTTTTGTGCTGATCATCTTACACATTTGGTCGCTGCTTGTGAATCGCTGCTATATCAATGTGGGCTGCGTCGGTTCTCTTTAGGCGGGCTTGCCTGTAGCAGATGACTTGAGTTTGGAAGTGATCCTGGTTTGGGCTGGGCTCTCGCAGCCCGAAAAATCAAATAGCAAAGAACTACAAATTACATGCCAAAATGCACTTCAATACAAAGCACTTGGGTAAACAGCCAAGCAGACAGTGGTGGCGCGGGGGAGGGGGAGGTGGAGACACACCTGTGGGCCACTGTGAGTTTTCCTATTTTCCCCTGCTTTCCCGCCGCACTGACGATGTAAACCTTACGGTATTTTGCGATAATTGCACTTTGCTGTTGTTGCTCCTGCTGCCGCTGCCTTTGCTCCTTTTGCTCCTTTGCTCCTTTTCGTCCTTTTCGTCCTTGCAGGGGTGGGCCACCTCCCACTTTTCGTATGTCTGTGCGCAAGATAAACAAAAGACAACTGCTCCATGTGCTTGTGTATGAGTTGTCTGGCACACGTCTTCGCCTTCCACCCACAATACCCACTACTTTTCAGCTATTAATAATGTGAAACTTCGAGCCTGGGGTTTCCATATCAACTTGTTTGCCGTAGCCGGTGACGACTGTACTTACTACTTAATTAATTCAAATCTTGCTAATTGCATTTTATTTGCCTTCGCTGCGCAGATTTCAAGTTTTTAATTGCAAATCTCTTTTCCCATTCAAAGCCTCCACGCCCACTGAAACACGACCCATTTAAACACACTAACTTTCCACCAAATGATTTCTCACAAATGCCTTCTTCTTTGTAGGTTTCTTAAGAAGCATTACCTTGGCGGTCTTCATGGGAATCGACTATGTGCTGAATAGACAGGAGACGCATTATGATACGATGCTCGTGGTTGGACTGACCGCCTGTGCCATGGGCATATTTGGCCTCTTTATATTTATTGTGATGCAGCTGCAGAAGTACCAAGTAGGTTTGACAAATACTTATTTCACTTGCGCTGACTAACCAGTCG